CGGTATATACTAATACTATTTGGTAGGGAAGCCAAGTACAACGCGTGGAGGCGGTTGCTGAAGTGGAGTTACCCCAGAGAGCTAAAGTAGAATATATTGCTCTTGTTGAACCCTCAAGGCCAAGTACGGCTACGATGAGACGAAGGAGCCAGAAGCAGTTGGTGCTCAATAGAAAAAGAATGCAGCATACATTAAGGAGTCCAGAGGGAAAGGGGGAGGCATGAACACGGGGCATGTAAAATGAATGACATTAACGCTGGGTACATAAATCATAAATGGGACATGATACCATGTTTGACTGCCGTGTAAGAGACCAACGGCAAGGGCGGTGTTTTCTGGTTTTTTCTTTCTATTTTCGACGATTGTTGTTATCCCCTCGCGTGCTTATCTTCTCTATTCCTGTAATGTCTTCGCGCGTAAATATTCTAGAGATGAAATACCTAGGACAGAGCAACAAGCATTCCATTTCTGCGCTGTCCACCTCCCGGTTCCCACCCTTTACTTGCATTCCATTTTCCCCTTCCCCGGTGAAAGGCCTGAGCTTACATGTATTTACTGAAATTAACGTTAATGCCAACAGGGGTATGGTACGCACATTCGAGTAATTTGCGGGGTTATACTATCGTGTATGCAATTAATCATTCTCTTCCCAGGTTTGACCCATCCAATCCGGCTCCCGGTGGGCAGCTGTGGCACACCACGGAACATCTCGAGGGGTATACGGGACGAGTGGAAGGTTGTACGGCATGCGAAAGCCAACTCTGATCATATTCGTGGCGTCTGGGTGCGAGGTCAGTTTTGTGGAGTCACTCTCTGGTGGTTGTAGTGGCTCCTTAGAGGGGGTATTGCGCTTGAAGCAAGGGATCATCTTGACATGGTTGATAGGTGAGCTGTCGTTGCACTTTTCTATATTATTCTCACGGAAAAGTTCCGGCCATATTAGCACCCCTATCTCCCAGCTGCAAATTCTCACCTCCCCCTGGGCGTTAGCTCCAGCTCCCCATGCTTGAGTCGAGAGGTTCGCAGAAGTAACCATCGCCCAGTCGATGCTGCTCATTCCTGAATCGGAAAACCGGATGTATGTTTTTATGTGAGGCGCAGCCCTGCTCCGTCCAGCCTCTCGTACATAAGCCAAGCCCTTAACTGACTCTGTAGCAGGGCCAGGGTCTCTCTGGCCTTCAGCATCCCCTGCCCAGTGGCACAAATAGTGGCGCAGATATGCTAGCTGTTTTTGTTGTGAAGCGCTTTGGATTTTCATATGGATAGACCCCCCAGATCCATACCCATCTAACGACCTTCTGATTTCGTCAGGCGTAGGAAATATTATTGAAAAATTCGCGTGGCAAGCAGAAATGGTCTGGTTAAACCTAGATTGAGGGCATAGCGAGCCGAAAAATGTTTCCTTCAGCCACTTGTCAGTCTGCCCAAGCGTAGCTATGGACGATACCTATATGTATCAGAAAAAATGAGCGCAAGAAAAAGAAATCTCCTCTATCAAACTCACTTACCTGAACGATAATATGGGGTTTCAAAGTTTGGGACGAGCTGTGATCTATGGGAATAGAGCGAATAGCATCCCTCAGTGCAGGCCAACCCCAGAGGGTTTTCCTATTGGAATCAAATGCTTTAACTGGCAGTCTTGAAGGGACACTGGCAATCAGCACAGCTTTCACTGCTCCGAAATCATATCTTTGTAGTTGATGGATAAGCAGACCGATCGTTTTATTGTTATATGCGTCTAGATAAGCAAGCAAGTCTCGTTTGAAGCGGGCACCGCTTCCAAATTCCCCATGAGTATCACCCACATGGGGTTGTGAGAAAGGAAGGAGTGGAGATCTCCAAACTGCTTGGGTCATATTTCCCCAGTCTCTCGGTATCATATTTGCAGTATGAATTATGATCCTGCAACAAGAAAGAATCCTTGTTTTAGCATTTCGACCCTGTCAGCCTAGGTACTGGGATGCACCTTACTGTGCTAGGTTATCATGTCGAATCAAAATCATCATTTTTGAATGATGAGTCCCAAAGGGCTCAGGCATATAAGCCACAACTGCCTCGGCGTTTGGATATCGCTTACATGCATCCTATCGCCGGGTAAGATACGGTTCTGATGCATGGATCGCAACATCAACTTACATCGATGGCAATCCTATTTGGAGCTTCTCTCTTCCAAGAGCCGTGTATTATTTTCAGCTGAATAAGATCCTTGACATCACGGTCAAATTGGCTCATTATATAGTCCACATCAAAAAGGTAATTGAACTGCCAGCATTCCTTGATCATCGGATCTCCAAGGATATCTCGGAGCTTGATGCAGTCTTTATTATACCCCGTTGAATCGTTTATATCACGGATATGGGTGAGTTGGATGGGCGATGGAATTATCTTTTGTTCGGATGGCAGCCCTGGTTCCAATGGACTCCCAGGTCTCCGAGACTGTTTAATCCGAGATAGCGGAGGAGTTATAGATCTGTTCAAAGACCGAATACCCCCATGACCTTGAGGGCCAGTGCCCGAACGGTTTGACTGGTATGCATTGCTGGCTGTTTTCAATTTCTTCAAAGGAGGCGGGCTCCCATCGTGCTTGGCCATAGTTCAGAGATCGCTCTCAGGCCAGCCGGAGAACAGAGAAACTACAGTTATATCCCAGCCTGGTATCATCCGTCGCTAACACTTGCACTCTAGGGTATTATTGGCCTCCAAACGCATATTCCTGTCCGAAATATGCGAAGTGGAAGGAAAGAAAAAGAAAGACGTTTGCCTTGGGGGTAGCGTTGATCTGCTTATATAATAATACTAGTCGAGGCTCCAACCGCCTCCGACTGGACGAGCGACGCTTTTCTCAATTTCATGACATCGCCACGGACTGTACGGAATACAGAATACAGGCTACGGAATACACAGGACGGTCAAGATGGTTCTAACGGCTGTCGAGCAGGTTTGGTCAGATGCTCTCTAGAGAGGAGTCCATAAACCTGGTTGTGCTTCCTTGGGTATCTAACTTATGGAGTAACCACTTTGTCTCTGGGCTTCCTCTTGTGAGAAGTCCGGCAAGCATGGTTTGAACACTCAAGCTCAAGAGCAGCGATTCTAGTTTGGGCTAGCCAAGTAAACACATTACTCTGGACATGATACGGCATACCTGGAGTTTTACCTCTTTGGAACAGGGGGCGCCTCTGGTTGCTTATTCCTTAGCGTTAAAATACCAGGCAAAGTCACCATGGGCTCAAAATACAGAGAGTGTACTTCGGGGTAGAGGGTTACGCTGTGCAAACAGCATCTCCCCTGTCCGGTGGGATGGTCACACACGACCCTCCCATGCAGCATAGACCAAAATGTGACTTACCCCAAGTGTTTCGCGGCGGCTCTGGACAAGTCGAGCCTTTCTCTTTCGCTTCTCCTCTGCTCATCGACTGGACCACAACCAAATACGGAGTGTATACGGAGTACTGTGCATGTTTATATCACCTAGTTATGACTAAAGGCAAAGCTCAACAGTGCCAGACACACACTGGCCCTCAGAAAACACCGATATCGCCAGAAAGTAGCGTCGAGGCAGCCCAGCAAAATGAAATGGATGATGATGAACGAGTGCTTGCCTCCCTCGGGTACAAGCAAGAATTCAAGCGCGAGTTCTCGCTATGGACAACCTTCTGTGTCAGCTTCTCAATACTCGGGCTCCTACCATCGTACGCTAGCACGATGAGTTATGGTACGTCTAGACATATCTGCTAGTTGGGCCACTTTCAAAGGCCTACCTGTGGGCTAAATTATTCATATATTAGGGATTGGATATGCTGGTACTTCAATGGTATGGGGTTGGTTTATCGCAATGCTATTTCTCCAATGTGTTGCTATGTCCATGGCTGAGCTATGCTCATCGATGCCAACAAGGTATAGCAAATCACCTTTGTTCAACTACTACCCTCCAAAAGTTCATATACCCGTTGAAAACTAGCTGACGCCTTTCCGTCAGCGGAGGTCTTTACTATGCTGCTGCAGTACTCGCCCCGGCTGGTTGGGGGCCATTTGCAGCCTGGATAACGGGATGGTCGAACTGGATGGCACAAGTGACGGCTGCGCCGTCAGTGAACTACGGCATATCTGGAATGATTCTAGCAGCCGTATCGGTGACCCATCAAGGCTACGTTCCGCAACCCTTTCATACGTTTCTTTTAACAACGCTACTCATGATAATCCATGGAATAATGAGCAGTATGTCAACAAAATGGCTAGCGGAACTGAACTCTTACGGATCATCGTTTAATATCATTTGCTTGATCCTTGTTATTATCGCGATCCCAATAGGAACAACCAATGTTCCTCGGTTCAATTCGTCTGAATATGTCTGGGGAACGATCCATAACCGCACCTCTTATCCAGATTGGTTTGCGGTCATGATGTCCTTTTTGAGTGTTATTTGGATCATGTCCGGATATGATTCTCCCTTTCATTTGAGCGAGGAATGCTCTAATGCGAACATTGCATCTCCAAGGGCGATCGTCATGACATCCGGGATTGGTGCCATCATGGGCTGGTTTCTCCAGCTTGTGGTTGCGTATACGGTGAGAGATATAGATGAAGTTATAGGCTCGGAACTTGGGCAGCCATGGGCTGCATACTTATTCCAGGTGATGCCAACTAAACTGGCCCTTGCCATTCTTTCTGGGACTGTTATCTGCGGTTTTTCGATGGGTCAGGCGTGTATGATATCTGCTTCTCGCGTAACCTATGCTTACTCTCGTGATGATTGCTTCCCCTTTTCCAATATCTGGAAGAAAATCAACCCATATACCCAGACGCCAGTTAACGCAGTATGGTTCAACTGCGCTCTAGGCGTTCTAGCTACCCTGCTCATATTTGCCGGCGATGTTGCAATGGGTGCATTGTTTTCCATCGGCGGTATTTCAGCGCTAATCGCTTTCTCGATACCAATCGCTATCCGGGTTTTGTTTGTTAATCAAAGATTTCGCGCCGGACCATGGAATTTAGGAAAGTATACCTCCTTTATAGGCATACCTGGTGTCTCTTTTGCTGTGGTGATGCTGCCAATTGTCTGCTTCCCAAGGGTTGCTGGTTCTGAGTTAACGTAAGTCTACAACTCGCTCTCCTTCGCCTTGGTTCAATAGAGGAATATGGGGCTAACCTGTTGGCAGGCTAGCGGATATGAACTGGACTTGTGTGGTATATGGCGGCCCGATGGCTGGTATCATTTTGTGGTGGATTATCAGTGCAAGGAAATGGTTCAAGGGGCCAAAAGTCAACCTCGAGCATGCTATGCTTTCAGAAGAAGAAGAAGAAGACCGAGTCACTTATAATAGCACTAACAGCTTAATATAAGAGGTATGAAAAGGCTTAGAACAATGAGATCGGGGCATTTATTCACATGAACCCGAGTATTTCTCAGGATCTTTTTGTCGGATTTGTTCCTTACATTACCATAAATCAACGAAACTGAACAATGAAGTTATCAATTTTTTCTACTATATCACTCAATATAAGAAAAGCTTTATATACATCCAATATTCCGTATGTTCCGTAACCATGTGTGGCTTAACTAGCCTTCTATACCTTCTACCAAATCGCCCTTTACAATGCCACTTCGTTCACACATTCCCCTAAATATTCCCTCTTTCTCCCAGAGATTAAGCGGAGTGTCCATCTCGGCTATCTGCCCCCGGTCCATCACACATATCCTATCATAATTGATAATTGTCCGAAGACGATGTGCAATGCAGAGGAGCGTCTTGCCCTTGAACCCAACCGCCATTGTTTCCTGGATTTTCTGGTCTGTCTCGAAATCGACTGAAGAGGTAGCTTCGTCACAGACAATGATACGAGAACCACGCACCAAGGCCCTGGCTAAAGCCATTAGCTGTCTTTGACCCAGAGAGAAGTTCAATCCTTCCTCTTCCACCGCAGTATCTAGATGAATCTTTTGTTGCTGTTGTTGGTTATCGCTTTCAGACAAGGCCGTGTTCTTTTCAACGTTCTCGACGGTGCCGAAATTCTCCTTTTCTTCGCTGATAAGGTGGGATTGTCGCAGTGCGGACCAAAGTTCAAGATCAGTGTGTTCGTTAAAGGGATCCAGATTGGATCGTACCGTTCCGCGAAACAGGGCTGGATCCTGTGGGATGATAGCCAGTCTGCTGCGCAGATCATGCAAGCCAACAGTTGAAATATCAATACCATCAATTGTGATTGAACCCCCTGAGAGCTCAGTCAGTCGGAACAGAGCGGACATGATACTGGATTTACCAGCTCCAGTCCTTCCTACGATGCCAATTCGTTCCCCTCCCTTAATATTTAGATTAAGCCCTTGGAGAACCAGCGGTAAACCAGCACGATATCTCATCTCAACATTCATAAAAGATATTTGGCCGGATTGTGGCCACCTCTCGTCCATTTGGCGTAAGTGCAATGGGGCCTCCTCTTCCAGCTGTGTTCCATAGTAATGGATTCTTTCCGTTGCATTCATACTGTTCTCTACCTCAGCAAGCTGGCGGACGGTAAACTGCAGTAGTTGGGAGATCGAAAGGATGAACGAGAGCACCAGACCTGAGATGCTTGGATCGACGTTGAACCTCGATGTAACAACTAATATGCTTGTTACGAAAACCATCAACCAACCAACGGCGTCCAGTCGGACGGTTAGCCATCGCTGGTTGGAAAAGGTAAGGAAATATGCACTATCCATGTTATCAACAGCCTTTTGGAGTCGTCGTGTAAAATAACCTTGGAGTCCATATGCTCTTATAGATGCTGTTCCCGATATGGCTTCAGTGAACTGCGAGAAGACCTCTGACCGAAGTACCGCCTCATGACGTTTCAGTTCCCTTGCAGATGCCCGGTAGAAATTCGCTGCAAAAAGGAATATTATAAGCAATGGAATCAGTGCAATGGCGAACTATTTCAACAGTTAGTATGAGCATTCTTTGTGTCTCGGTCCAGCAATTTGAGAAACGGGAGACTTACATAGTGGAAGTACACAATGATCAAAGCGATCACAGCAAGAATTAAGCCAAAGGTCAGGTAAAATGTGCGCATCGCATCTGTTAAATCGTTATCCATGGTATGTATATCCTTTGAAAACCTGTTCGTCATTCGGCCTAGAGGCGTAGTGTCGAAGAACGACATCGGAGCTCGCAGCACCTTGTTGATAGCCCGAGAAAGCATAGCTTTGCTAGCGTTAGTTCCGCTTATTGTTAAGGTGGTTGAGAAAATGAATAGGAAAAGAGCCTGCGCTACGCCCAGAGCAATGTACACCCCAATATATGCCCCTGTGGAGAAGTCAAATTTCCTGGATACCCAATAAGAGAGCCACAGGGCATTGACAATTGTACCGCCATTTGCAAGTATGAGGCCGAGAACGATTATAGGTAGATTGATGGGCCACCCAAAGTTCGAAATATAGGCTCCCCAAACTTTCCAACTGACAGAATTCACCGCTCTTTCCTCTTTTTGCATCAGGGCGCCCGGTGCTTTAACTGGTGGTCCATTCTCCTCGTCCGACGCCTTAACCACTTCAGCGTTTCCATCGACAGTTCTTGCTTCCTCTTTTTTATCCTGCTCTTCTTCCTGCATGGTCGAGGACATGAGCTTTTGGAAACTGTCATTATGGCGCATGAGGTTGTCGAAGGTATCAATTGCTTCAATACGCCCATTATCCATTAATATGATTCGATCACACCGGCTTAGAACATGGAGCTGATGCGTAGCAAGGATACGGCATTTGTCCTTCAAAAGTCCACATATGGCATTATCCATGATATGGCGGCCAACATGGGCATCCACAGCAGAGAGAGGGTCGTCCAAAAGGACCATTGAGCTATTGAAATATATCGCACGAGCAATATTCAGCCGCTGTTTTTGGCCTCCCGAAATGGTTATTCCTCGTTCTCCAATCTCTGTTTGGTCTCCGTTAGGTAGCATTTTGAGATCTGCTCTCAGAGCGCAAGCATCGATGACTTGGTTATACCAGGCTTCATCGTACTCTTTGCCAAACAAGATGTTTTCCTTCACTGTCGCGTTTTGGATCCAGGCGTACTGAGGACAAAAGGCTCTAGAAGCTCCCATAGATGCATGGCCACCTGTCATTCGCATATCTCCTGCAAGAGCGGCGAGCAGAGAACTTTTACCACAACCCACTGTACCAATGATAGCAATGAGCTCATTGCGGCCGGCAGTAAAGGATAGATTGGTAAGTTGAAATGGCTCTGTAGGGCTTTGGAGGCCCGAATCAGCAGTCTCTTTCTCCATATCCTTGATCGCTTTGACCTTTCCTTTGCGGTTTCCAGAGCCCTTTTTGTTGAAAGAGTCTTCTTCACTTGTTGGAAGCCGTTCCCAGGTAAACGAGGCATTGTCAATCTCAAGTGCATTTTCCAGAGAGTCATCCCGTTCGATATCATCCGCTTGTTCCTCAGCAAGTAAGAAGTCCTGGATTCGATTCAGTGCAGTCCACGCATCGGTCACCTGGCCAAGAACTAAGGGTAACATATTCAATGGCAATCTAAGAGTATTGAATAAAGCCAAGGAAGAGAATATGGGCGCCGGGTTAAGGGGATGTTTGGTGAGAGAGAATGTGATGAACGAGAGCATGGAGGCAAATACAGGGAGGGATAATGCAATGCAAAGGAGAACGTTGCGGATGGCAAGCACAACCTGAATTGCCCGGACTTCTCTCTTCCGAAGTTCATCCAGGCGTTTCAAAAAGCTCTGCTCCCAGCCGAAAAATTTGACAAATCTCACAGCTTGAAGGATCTCCTGAGTGAGCGATACTCGCTGATCAGTGATTTTGTTGATCTTCTTTCGCCTTCTGATAAGAGACTTTATAGCGTGTGTCAATAAGGGGATTCCTGCTACCAAGAGCGCATACCCTGAAAGAGCACTATATCCAATATTCACCAATAGGAGGATCAGAGCAAGGATAATGATGATAGGAGACGTCCAAAGTAGGTGAAATAGACCTAGAGCTTTGTCGATACGGTCCGTATCAACACTCATCAGCGTGACAATGCGGCCGTTACTCCATCCGGTTCCATCGCCCATCACACCTGCGACAGCGTTCGTCGGCCCAACACGACGCTTCTTGCTGAAAATCGACGTCAAGATGTTATCACGAGCCTTTCGAAGCTCAGCTGTTTGCTCTGCGGCTTTGGTTCCAGTCTCACCTGGGCTGACAGCCTTCCCACCAGCTCTAGCTCTCCCGGATAACCTTGTTGCTTTGGAAAATATCATACTGACAAGGACTGCCCGAGCCTGTCCACCAACCATCATCCCTCGAAAAAAGAACTGACTCGTCGTTACGCTCTGGATGATTTGCATGCAAGTAATGCCGACTGCAATCCCGATTCCATTACGAATGTGAGGGCCGGGAGCATGTTTATGCTGGGCAATATATGCTTCTGTCGCGAATGCAATGAGGTATTTGGTGGTATAAGGCGTGAGAACTTGGAGAACGCAAGAAACCATCTGGCAGCATGCCCCAATCCATATCTCAAGTTTGAATGTCTCATACCCGGCTCCAAGCAAAGGATGTTTGTCGCCACGTTCGATTCTCTTTTGAAAAGAAGCTTCCAGTTTCGCAGAGAGCCCTTCGACGGATCTATCTGGATTTACCAGCCAGATATCCTGCAGCTGAAGGGGCCGGAGGTAGCCCGTCTAAATACCATGACGTTATTATATGTAACTTGCAAGTTAAACCAGGGAGAAAGCTCACCATCATCAGCGGGTGCATCCATTGAAATGTGATGACACTTAACAGGCTGGCTCCATGCTCTTTTGAAATGGCCCGCTCTGACGGCACAGGTGGTGGTTTTCGGAGTCTGATCGGGTTCAACCTTTGATACCATCGCAGTTTATTCTCATAAACCAGCTCTACTCCCTTCCCTCCGTCATCAGATTCACTCTGGTCGCCGTTTCCGCCATTATTGTCGATCTCTCTCTTCATCATACTGTGGCGGCCGCTATCTTTGACAGCCGCTGTTTGTGGCATGCCAGCCAGTATGAGTAACTAGTTAACTAGTTAAATATATATAAGGACACTCGACAGGGTCTCTCTTAGCCTCCCATGATGGTCACAAGATTTATACTATGTGTGCACTGGGCGTTGTTCATCCTAGCAATAACGAGCCGGGAATGCAGCGCAGTTACGGCGTATAAATATCACTGACCGGGGGCTTGACCGTGTCGAAAACTTGTTGACTAGTTATCAGCTTTCCCACTCTGGCCACAGAACTAGCCAAAACCCGAAAAGTCCTTTACAGCCGGTTCCGAGCACGGTACATCTCTTTTTACCCGTTAAAAACGGTGAACAGGAAAGCTTGATGAAGCTTACTAATTTGTATCTTCGGCTAGATTCAAATTCGTCCGTAATCAAGCAGTTCGTATTCCCGGGTTCAAGCTCGGATGAGTTTCATCCGTTCAAACTATCTCGAGGCTATTGGTGGTAACCCTGCCAGCATGGTCGTTATCTCCGAGGGCTGAAACTCTGTATGAGTAGGAGTTCCGCCACAGTTTGGTAGTCATAAAACGACAGCAGTGGCCCTCCAGCAGGCTGAAGCTATCTATATCGTTGACGTGAATATCAAGGAGTAGCCGCGGAAGGGTAGTTAGACGTATTACCTGGCATTTACCACTAATGCACACTAATCGGAAGTAGTAGAACCTTTTGTCTGAGACATACTCATACCGTCATAGCTCTGCTAAGAGCTGTAAGCCCGAATTGGCGACAAATTCAGAACGGTGAAAAAAAGGTAGTTTGATGATATCATCAGTTGAAAATTCCTATTTGTGGTCTAAGCAGTCCAACGGAAAGGAAGTAGTGATTGTAAAATCACAGGCATTGTAGTTGATCGCATCACTACAGGACCCACGCATGCATTTCATCAAATTTGATCGTAGTTGGAATGCTCTTCGCCTCATATCTAGCATAGGAAGTAAGTATCCGGATTCACTGGTGAAATATATGAGAGGAAACTTGTAACCATGCGGCCGTGGAATTGGAAGGCATATGGAATACATGTATTTGTTTCACATGGTTTCAATATTCAAGTTGGGGAGGAAGAATGGTGAATATACCGACACTCCTAAAATCCTCGGATTGGGTAGAATCGTATTAGAACTCAATATCTGATTAAATCATTAACAAGTAAAAAAAAGCTATTAACAAGGGTCTTCTCTTAAACGTGGGAGTTGGGTTGTTAGCTCACCACTAAAATAGCTTCTTCAGCAGGGCTTTGACATACCCCAGTTTACCACGCGCTGGATAGCGAATATGATAGGTCTCAGGCTCCGGCAGAGAAGCATGAATTCCTAGCCGCGCAATCGTTAAGTGAGAGATTAGCATAAACTAGAGTAACCCCCACATATTAACAGCTAGGAGCTGATGATCAAATATAAATGGGTCAGGGAAGATCGTAGGGACCCCGTGTGCTCAAAGCACGTTGATTTGCTGACTGGTATCAAAAGGATATGTTAACACCACGCTTGGAGGGAGTTAAGCGCGAGAGTCAAGCTGAGGAGACAACCGCCAGTCAGAAACCCTCATTTATAGTTCTATATTCATGGTCAGCAGTCACTCAAACGGACGAACTGGATTGTTTACTTGATCATTCTAATCTAAAAACTTGGCATTGGAAAAAATTTCTAGTCAAATAATATTCCACGCAACGTTTTCGTCCTCGGCAAAACACCTAGCTCCTTATACAGCTTCTTTTATATCCTTCGAGTTACGCAAGCGACGAGTCTTATCATTAATGCACGATCTGCGGCTTCTGCTCCACCAAAATGGCATCTGACCTCTCATCCTGCATCCGATCCAGTGGTCTCTGCCGGAATATCAGTATCCTTCTAGACACATACGATGCCTGACTTTGGTTTTCCGCTGGGTTTGCCATCATAAAGTTGGGGAATGGTTAAACTGCAATCTTCCATTAGGAAGCAAAAATGAATGTAGTAGCTGGGGGACAAAATATGGAGTATGTAGACAGGTAGAATTCGAGTTGCTCTAACCACGGTGCGGAGAAACGGTATAGAGTAGTAACATTCAAATATCCCGCCTATCCCAATTTATATACTGAAGTCCAAGCCCTTGCACTGGAGCAGGTCAATGTTTGAGCCGTAAAACAAAGCATGATGTCGCAGGCACTGCAGTAAAAGTGCTTCCTAACAGCAGCAGGATATGGGCAAGATTTGCCATGCTTTCCGGACGGGTTCAGTATCACGGTCTCGTAGCATCGGTTTAGACGGAGTATTGGGTTATTCAGGCTTCATCCTGTCCGGTTAGCTCTCTACTTAGACATATCCCCAGCATTCCCGCAATGCTGGTGTATGGTCGCTCGCGCTCATACCCTGCAGCCATGCCATGCCTCAACAGCATCACGAGCATGCAGGGTACGGGTATTATGAGGACGATCAAAGGCTCAAGGCCGTACGCCAGCACCCAGCATCGTCTTCTTCCTTGCCTATACCTTGACAAAGCACTGACGTGTCTGGTTGCCGTCGTTGCTCGCCGTCGGAACAAAGTTGCTCGGGGGATCGACCGAAGGGACCCACAACTTTAAAATAGCCCAGGCGGACGGCTCGTTCGTCTGTGCTATTTCTCCGACGACCACGACTTGGGATACGTTTGGTGTTGATGTTATTTGAGAAAGGCGCTCTTAAGGGCCTAGGGAGATGCAGGTGTAGTTAGTTACTCCGTACCTAGTTAGCTGCCGGATGGATGGAGGTGCATGGGAGTAAGCATGACGGCCTGACCTTAATTATTCTGCCCTATTTCATCCTTGCGTCCGAGTGAAGGCTAGGATGCTTGCATGATTTCGCATTTTGGCGAGTTTGCCGCTTATAATCCCATGTTTGCTACTTAGTTCATGGCGGTTGGGCCCGTTTTCCCTGAACCTCCGTTGCTGGCGCTTTTCGGAACAAGTAATTACTCGATGTTAGTTACTGGGCGACAAGTCAAGGCTTCGAGCATACAGTCTATTCGTAGTCTAGTAAAATATTCACTACGCTCTGCCCTGCGGCATAGAATACACTGGAAACAGAAGACTTCCTTCGCCATGAAGTGATTATGTATGGTCCTACACAACTCCTCTCAGATAGTATTCGAACTGTCCGCTCGCGAGGGTAAAAAGGGGTATATATGTAAAGCAAAAGACGACAAGAAGCCTGCCCTGGCCATGGTTAGGCCCCTTCTTCCTCCTTTTTTGTTTTTTTGGTTTCCTTCCCCCTTTGTCCTATAGTCCCGAGTGACTATTCCCCTTAGCCGTTTAAATAAACCGTGAAGACATGATGCGCTGCTGCTTTTCTGAAGATATGCTTTGAGTAGGAAATGGAGAATCATTTGGAGAATCGTGACGTTTCATCCGAAAGAGAAAAGAAAAATAAAGAGAAGAAATATGCAATAGGGGCGTAATAAGACGGGTCGTGGAAGGTGGAGTGGGTTACTTCGAGAGAGGCGGCGAGGTTAGGTGTTTACTTTGGGGAAGTTGGAAGCTCTTTGATGGCCTCCTCGATGATCTTGAGGGATTCCTTGATCTGCTCTTCAGTGATGACGAGCGGTGGAGCGAATCGGATTATATTCTGGTGGGTCGGTTTGGCCTGGAGACGTTAGTTAGAAAAAATGTTTACAGGAGTTCTGCCGGAAGATTACAGCAAGGGGATGACTTACGAGAAGTCCCTTGGACTTCATCAACATGCACAGATCCCACGCAGAGTGTCCGTTGGTCTTGGACTCGTCGACAACAAGAGCGTTTAACAGACCTCTGCCACGAACAGTCTGGATCATGGGGTCGTTGATGGCGTTCAGACCGGCACGGAACTGCTGTCCGAGAGTCTCGGCACGCTCAACCATGTTCTCCTCACGGATGATCTCCAAGGCACGGATGGCAATGGCACAGCCGAGTGGGTTGCCGCCGTAGGTAGAGCCGTGGGTGCCGGGCTCGACGGTAAGCATAACATCCTTACGTCCGAGAACGCAGGAGACGGGGTACATGCCGCCGGAGATGGCCTTGCCGAGAAGGACAAGATCAGCCTTGACGCCGCTCCACTCCTGGCAGAGAAGCTTTCCGGTACGGGCAATACCAGTCTGGACCTCGTCGCAGATCAGGAGAGCATTGTGCTTCTCGCAGAGAGCCTTGGCCTCGCGGAGGTAGTCTTCGTCAGGGACCATGATACCAGCCTCACCCTGGATGGGCTCGAGAAGGAAAGCAGCGATCTTGGGGCCAGCAGCCTCGAAGGCCTGGCGGAGAGACTCCTTGTCGTTGTATACAATGGGCTTATCGGTGCCAGGAATGACACTGCCGATGTTTGGCAGGTAAGGGCCATAGTTCTCTCTCGACTCGGGGTCAGTAGACATGGAGATGGCAGCAAACTATTCATAACACAAAAAATAAAGTGATTAGCATTGGTCTCCCCTCCCTCCCTTTTATCTGGTTCTTGTCAATCAATGGAGACTTACGGTACGTCCGTGGAAGTTGTTCTCGACGCTGAGGATGATGGCCTCGTTCTGTGGAATGCCCTTGACCTTGTATCCCCACTTACGGGCGATCTTGATGCCGGTCTCGACAGCTTCAGCACCGGTGTTCATGGGCAGGACCATGTCGTAGCCGAAGTACTCCGTGACGAACTTGGCGAACTTGGGGAAGACATCGTTGTAGAAGGCGCGGGAGCTAAGGGTGAGGGTGGCAGCCTGCTCGGTCAGGGTCTTGACGAGCTCGGGGTGGCAGTGGCCCTGGTTGACGGCGGAGTAGGCGGACAGGAAGTCGAGATAGTGCTTGCCCTCGGGGTCCCAGACGGAGGTGCCTGATGCCCGCGCAAAGACGACCGGCAGCGGGTGGTAGTTGTGGGCAGCGTACTGGGCCTCCTCCGCGATGGCGGACTCGGTCGACGAGGCGTGGTATCTCGACACATCCTTGCCTCCCGCAACTACCTGAGTCGCCATTGGAGCCATTCTGTCTGTAGCACTGGATGTATCTCTTTGTATCTCCTGCGTCTTGGCTTGTATATATGTATATATGTCTCTTTGGGGGGTATCTCGTCGTGTTCGTCTCTAATCGTGGGGCGTGTAGTAGGTATGTCCTCCCTCCAACCCCCCAGGCGGCGTCCCGCGCAGTTTATATATCAAGCAGCTGGCGAAAAGCTGCCACCCTCCCTCCCTCCCCCTCCCCCGACGGTATCCTCCCCGTCCAGCACGCTATGCCGTTAAGTGAAGGTGACTCGCACCAGAAACTCCACCGTCCTGCTCCATCTCGACGGCCGCAGACGAAGAAAAGACGAAAAAAGCAACGAAGAGCAGCGGCGGCGGCGAATCAGACAGCCCCTGAGGGTCAGAAAGCCGGCGGGTCACATGGATCTTGACATCATCGCGCCCTCTGGTCGACATCTTCGGGTTTTTTTTTGTAAGTAGTTATCCTTTTTATCTTTTTTCTCTTTGCTTCTTTGCTTTCTTGTTGCTTTGCTTTCTTTTCTTTTCCAGGATAACTTTACTCTGCGTCCTTCCGCCGGCCAAGGGGGAGGGAGGGAAACTGTGGTAGCGAGTCCAGCGTCGCCTCCTTTTCCCGCGCGGAAACCATGTCGAAGGCGCGGAGTGCAGCCTCGAGGGACGGCGGCGGCAGGCAGGGAGGCCAGCAGGGACGGCGGACGGCGGACGTCTTCCTCCTGCTGCTGGCCTTGCGCATCGCCAACGCCCTCATTGTGCAGACGTTCTTCCAGCCAGACGAGTTCTTCCAATCGCTCGAGCCCGCATGGGGGATTGCTTTTGGCCGGGACAGTGGCGCCTGGATTACATGGGTATGCATCCCCCACCCCGGAAGAGAGAGAAGAACAGAGAAAAAAGAGAGACAGGGTGGAAAAGAAAGGAAGATGCAGGATGGGCTGGATGCTGACGGTTGGCGTTGTCTTGTAGGAATGGGAGCACCAGCTGCGGTCGTCGATTCACCCGTACATCTTTGCCGCCGTCTACAAGGCGGTGGATGCTGCCTCCGGCGTGCTCCAACTCTCCCCTTTACGGCGGGGTGACCTTCTGATAGCAGGCCCCAAGGTTGTCCAGGGCTTCATTTCCGCCGTGGGGGATTATTATACCTGGAGGTTGGGCAGGAGAATATACGATGGCAGGCCAGAGAGCACCTGGATTGTGAGGACCCCCTTTTTACCTATATATATTGAATATTTGTATACTAACAGTGAGCAGCTAGGGTTGGCAGTGTTGAGTCCGTGGCAGTGGTTCTGCTCTACCCGGACGCTGTCAAACTGTCTGGAGACCTCTCTTACTGTCACGGGCCTGTATCTATGGCCGTGGCAGTGGTCTCTCCCCGGGAGACGGCCGTTGGTGACCGGTAGAGACGTTACTAGGTATGCATATGCTACGCCCCATCCATCTCTGCATACACAAACAACTAACAGGTCTAGTCTGAGGGCATGTCTGCTTGTTGCCTCGCTGGCATGCGTCCTACGCCCGACTAATACCATTATATGGTTCAGCCTGGCAGTCAGTCTGGCATATACCACTTTCCGCCAGAGCCAGGTATCGCGGCTGCCGTGGACCAAGTCCCTAGAGCCGCTCATCATTCTTCTTAGGGAATGCGTCCTCTGCGGGTAAGATTTTGACCTATTTAAAAGTTCAGATCGATCCCATCGACTAACCCAAGTACAGTTCGTCCATCCTGGCTATCTCTGTTCTGGCGGACCGTGCTTATTACGGAACATGGACGCTTCCGCCGTTCAGGTTCCTCTATTTCAATGTAATCCAGTCTCTTGCCGTGTTCTACGGTAAAAATGACTGGCACTACTATCTCTCGCAGGGATACCCGCTTCTGCTCATCACTGCTCTCCCGTTTGCCTTCATCGGCATGTTTCAGTCGTTGTTCATGACATCGGATCAATCTTGCTCTACCAGTCTGGCCACAACAGTCAGACGGCAGCTATCAGTTGCCTGCATTGCCATGCCGGCAATCCTCTCTCTTGTCCCTCACAAGGAAGTCCGTTTCATATACCCTATCTTACCCTGTCTTCACATCCTGGCAGCCGCTCCGGTATCCAACTTCTTCACTCCCTCTATATCTTCCGCTTCGGGATCATATACCCCCCGGAGACTACTCCTGATATTTCCTAGTGCTAGTCAACATTGTTGTCGCCGCATACACATCCGTCATCCACGCTTCAGGCGTCATTGATGTACTTGGATATCTGCGTGTACAACAAGATACCCACTACCAGTACGAGCCTTCCCGCGCCTCACCGTCGGATTTCTGATGCCATGCCATAGCACTCCCTGGCGGTCACATTTGGTATCTCCTCACATCCGCGCCTGGGCTCTGGGCTGTGAACCACCCGTCAACCTTTCCCCCGAGGAAAAAGCCACCTACGTCGACGAAGCGGACCAGTTCTACAACAACCCTACTGAATTCCTATCCCAGAATATGGCCAGTACTGGAATACTTTCTAAACATTTTGCATCTGCTTCCACTCCCAAGAATGACTGGCCAGACTACCTCGTCTTCTTCTCCCATTTAGAACCAACAATTAAACAATTTCTTCGTTCGTCTTCATACGCTGAATGCTACCGCACTTTCAACACGGCCTGGCATGACGACGCACGCCGAAAAGGGGACGTAATAGTCTGGTGCCGTGATCCAAAGATCCAATCAGACTGGCGAACCAGCCAGATTCGCAAAACTATTCCCCAAAGCGAGCAATCCTCAGGCCAGCAGCAACAACAACAGCAACGTAGTTTCGACCGGATTATCGATGTCTTAGCCAGAGAACGAGACAGCACGGCTAAGCCACAGCCAGAGTCATCATGGATTCCTTGGTGGAGCGGCAGCAGCAGCAGCGACACGCCAGACACAAAGCATAAACAAGGCCTGCTCTCCTCATTCCCGACCTCGTTTTCGCTTCCTTCCATATCCATCTCGTCTCCGTTTTCGTCATGGTCGTCGGGTAAACAACGGCCCCAACAATGGAACTGGCCGTGGCAGCGCCGACGCAAGGCGCCCATCTTCCGACTGAAAGACAACATTGTCTCGATGTATCAGAGGATGACGGCCCGGCGGCAGGCAGCGAATGCCCAGCGTGAGCTGTGGTCGTGAATGAGAATGCTGATACACAGTGCTATATAGACGGTTTTCTCTCTTCCCTTCATCTGCCTTTCATCTGCAACAGAAGCCTTACACAGCTTGGCTACACATACATACTCCGCACCCATACATACATATACATACATACCGGCCGACGGATATACCTAGATAGTCGTGTTAATACATAAATTGATAATAGCGCGGTATTTCATCAGCTTCGCTTCGTAAGGCAGACACTTGTCTCACCGGATCCACTCACATACGAATCAACGTATTCATAGCAAAACGCTCATATCATTAGTTAACTAAGTATAAGGTCTATCTTAATAAGGAGCTTGAAACTTGTTGTTGTCCCCGCAGCAAATACAAATAAGCAAGTAGTTGTGAAAAACCCAAGAAACGGAGGTTTCAAACATCGAAAAAAAAGGTAGAAGAGAGACAAGGACGGAAGAAGAACGATGGCTAGCCGGGTTGTGAGGATGGTTGGTTGCTGGTTATACAAAGTAGAGAATAGAAGAGAGTGAAGGTGAGAGTCATACAAATAGGATAGAAATGATAAGTGGTAGTAGGTAAGTAGGCACCTCCCTCTTAAGACAAAACAAGGAGTGAATAAGGTAGTCAAGTAGAAGAAGCCAAAAGAAAAAATAACCTGGGGTTCAATCATTCCATGTATGCATTGCATTGTATGCGGTGGTGTTAGAAGAAAGTAATCAAACATATGAGAACAAGATAGAATGGTATCAGGTAAAAAGGCAGGTAAGCAGGCCACCCCGGAAGAAAAGTAGGCTAGAGAAAGTTTGGAAGAGGGACGGAGACGGTGACCCCCAGGCTCATTCATTATCAGGTAGAAAGCGGGTAAATGCATAGAAGAGACGAGACAGGAGGACGATAACGATTTTGGATTGGAATTCAAGTTTTTGCTTGCATGCATGCTGGCTGACGGACGGACGGACGGACGGGCAGGCTATATATCGATGCGTTTTGTGGTAATCGCTGGCAATTGAACGGTTTTATGTGCATGAATGCAATGAAAGTGGTATATACGTATGTACGGTACGCTTCAAAGGGGAGAGTGATTAATATCTCGCGCTCAGACTAGCAAAGATATCCGGACTGTGGCGGCCACTGTGAGCCTGTCTGATGTCGATAGATTCCTGGCTGATGTGGGTTCGAGTAAATCCCATGTTATTTGATGCTGGTGCTACAGGGCCTTGTGATTGGGTTGGTGCCGTGGGAATGAAGGTGGTGGCTGGCTGGCTGGAAGCTGCATTGGTGGGGGTGAAAAAGGGATTGTGATTTGCGTATGTACCTGTGGTGGTTGCGGGGGCAGACTGGACCATTGGACTTGCATTGGTGGCGTTCTGGTACGGGTTTGTGGAGATGGGGTTGTTTGTTTGTAGGTGTGGCAGCTGAGGTTGTTGCTGGGCCTGTTGCTGGGCCTGTTGCTGCTGTTGTGGCTGTTCGGGGATGGTAGGTGGAGGTTGAGAGAAGTTGTACAATGCAAGAATGCTGGACTTGTCAATCCTATTGGGCTGCTGTGGCTGCTGGGGTTGTTGTTGCTGGAACTGTTGGTACACAGGCATAGCAGGCTGTTGCTGCAGAGAATAGGCTGGCTGCTGCTGCTGCTGCTGCTGAGGCTGTGGGAACATGTACGAAGGAGACAGGGCCGGCATGGTGTTATGGTGCTGAATGGTGTACGGCGAGTTATTGACTTGCTGGGGCCCAGT